ATCGATCCAAGATACTTCGACTTCAGCTATGCTATTCGCGTAGCTGAAGTTGCGTATCTGGGATCGATTTCCCCCCCGCCCCCCCAAATGTAGACCAGCCCACAGAGTGATTGGATTAACAGCACAGAGTGAGTTGCATCCCCACTACATTACTAGTTACAGCATCAAGAGGCCTAAGAGCACCACTTAACTCAAACTAGAGATTTGTGTGTGTAGCTGGGAGTCAGGTTATGGGCAAAACTCAAGTTTTATGCTGTGAAGACATGCCCTTAGGCACCTGGTGTTATGAGCCCCACTGGATGCTGCTGCATTAAGTGTGTCATAGTATAACTGCATGCACCTATCTATTCAGGGGAAAAACCAAGGTGCTGTGAATATATGGTGAGGTTGTGTGGCTAACGCTGAAGGCTGGAAAATGTTCAGATTGATAGGCACAGAGGCTGCTGCTGAGACAGTTTTGGGAGGGGGAATGTTCATTATAATATCAGAAAAGGAGGCACTATTGGTTGGTTTTTTGTTTTTTTTAAATGCTGGTATATACTTAGCAGTGATTTCCTCCCCCCCCCCCCAATTATTTGTGACTCCATTATTCAACCAGCTTTTGTTTGAACTTCGCCTTGGACCTACTCCAAAATGAGTAGTGAATTACATGCCAGGTTTCAAAGTTCAGCCACTGAGTTACATATGTGGAGGGTGGTGGGAAAGTGTGTCCACAACTCTTTACATTGTGGAGACGTAGTCTTCTTCAGCCTCCCATAACTCAAAGGCAGGAACATAGATTTTCCCCTCTTTGGAGAGTCGGGTGGGGGAGGAGGAGGAATGACAATTAGATGGAGACCAGATGGAGGATTTTCTCCAAAAATAGAGTTTTTCAGAAAGTTCTAAGCATGTGAAAATAGGTCTGTGTGACTGAAATGTTTAGCTCCCTCATCTGTACTGGGAACGGCCAAGCAAATTCAGTCGTAAATGTGGCATAATACATTTGATGCTATAATCGTTGCAGAACTTGTGGCAGTTCGCCAGCTTTTACCACTCATCGTCCGTTGAGATGGATATTGGTACTGAGATGTTTGTCCTTCCTCGAGCATTTTTATTTATTCAGCAAACTGCGCCTAGCCATGCAATCCACTAACTAGCTTCCCTCCTCCCCTCCCCCTTCTCCATAGAGCTAGGCAAGGGGAGCCTTTTGCTAAAGTATTTGATTCAGCAGGATGGCTGACTTTGTACTTTGTCTGGTTTTTGGTTTTTTTTTTTTTAAATTGTGGATAAGTAAAATGCATTTCTCTGCAGTTCTGGTTTGTTCAAAACTCATTTCCAGAGCTCTGCCAAGGAATACATTTATTTCATCAGATTCAAAAAAGAAAAAGCTAGTCTATAATTTACTCTGGAGGAACATCATTATAATGTTAAGTGGTAATCAGTCATCGCAGAGATGGCAAAAACAAACTGGAGTTTGCCCCCTTTCCCTCTGAATGGTGTTTGCTTTGAATCCCGACTGAATGAATTAATTTCACAATGTAAGTATGTGCCATTTGATCCTACCTCAGCAGTAAAATTAGTAATTTTGCTCTGCGTCCTTATGTAGGTATAGTTCCTACTTGCTATTTTAAGCTGTTTTTTCTCTACTGAGGAACCCTAGGAATGTTAAAGGTATTAACCTAAACAGATGTCCAGCAACAGATGATGATTCTTTAATCTCCATCTAGGCGGGGGTGAGTTTAATTCTGCTCTTAAAGCAATAGTGTCAGAACGGGGTGTTAAACATTCAAGCAGTAATGCCGAAGGGAACAGGGTTCCAACAACATTTGTGTGGGCTGAGGCTGGTGGAATCACAGCTGATATTCAGACTCATCTGAGAGAATGAACTGCACATCAAAAAAAGAATTCCGAAGGACGAGATCAGGGAGAAATAGGAGTCAAGTCTTTTTAAAACAACACAAGAGGCGCATTCAGCCAATGCTACTGCAAAAAGACGGCATGCTATGCAGTGTTACATACACTGGTTACAGTTCTGGACCTCTCATGATGATAAGTTGACTTTTGTATCAGGATACATTCCCACTGCAGTGGATCAGAGTATCTGTTTGCCATGAATGCATTTTATTCTGTCTGGAATGAAACCTTTGAGAATGTTTGCCACCATACAGAAGTTTGTTCGGGTTCAGATGGAAGTAAAGAAGAATAAGCTTAATTACTTCTTTTAAAAGTCTGCAACTTCAAACCAGTTGTTACACGTTACCTAGACTGATTGTAATAATGATTGCTATTCAGATCTGAATTGTGGCCAGCCATTAATTGGCCATTCTAGGTGTGGTTGTATTCTAAAATAGGGCTGAGATTTCCAAAGGGCCTAAGTGAGTTATGCCCCCAAATCCCATTGCAATTTGGGCACCTGACTTTCTTAAGCTCTTCTAAAACCAAAACCAAAACCCGGTCTAGATGTATACATCAATATGTATCCTAGGATACTAACTCTGAGAGGACACAGGTTAAACAATCATTAGGTGCATCTACATGGCACAAAAAAACCACAACCAACCTGTGGTGGTGAGTCTCATTGCTCAGGTCAACTGTGTTGGGCTCGTGTTGTGGGGCTAAAAATAGCAGTGTAGCTGTTTGGTTTCAGGCTGGTGCCTGTACTCTGAGTTCTGGCAAGTGGGGAGGGTCTGAGAGCCCAGACTCCAGCCTGAGTCCGAACATCTACACTGCTATTTTTTAGCCCCACAGTCCGAGCCTAAGTCAGTTGACCCTGGCAGTGAGAATCACTGCTGGGGCGAGAGCAGGTTGTTGGGTAGGCATTACTCATAGTGTCACTCAGCAATCTACAGTCGGGTTTCAGTATTCTGATATCACACTACTGCTAGACTAGGTAAGTCTGTGTAGCTTTTCCCGTCTGGTGGTATCACCCTCCTCAGAACTGAAAGCCTCTTGTTGCTTGACATCATAGCTCTTTTACCAGAAGTTCTGTGTATATTTGAGAATGGTGTTAGAGCATGATGGCCCTGCATGTCAGGCATGTTAGGCACTTAAAAAGTACCTACCAATCCCCAAAGATATAGTCATGCTGTATCTTCTAGTCTTTTTTTTTTTTTAAATAGGGTTGCACAAACAGCCTGTACCTATTGTGCTGCAGAAATCTCAGTTTATTAAGGCTTTCACAGCTACACCATGAATTGAGCTGCAATAAGAAATGCTACTCTGTGGAGCTCTTCCTTGAATCAGTCCGCTGTTATCCTCTTGGGACTGTGCAAAGCTACCCCTTCCATGGATCATTTTCTGACTTCAGAAATGAGAGCTGAGCTGATAAAACAAGAAATTTGCTCTGATTGGGAAAGCTGCAAAGGTTTTTATCTTGAACGATAAGGTTTGGTGTGGAACAAATGTTCCCATCAGATATGC